GCTTTTGGATGCACATTTCCCGGAGTTCACTCTATATGCCGTTACTGCCCCCATGGATATTGAACTATTTGTTATAAATACCAAATGACAGAGATTTAACAAATTAAAAAAAGGTATAACTGGGGCGGTGTTTTACATCTTCTAAAGCGGGCGTACGCGGGAGGTAAATAGGCCCTTTTAAAAATGCTAATGTATGCAATAGGCCCCCAGGAATAAACTCACAGGGTTGCCTCGCCCGCTGTAGGACCTCTTGCAACAACCACTCCCATACACCACCCTAGGCCCCGAATTGGCGGACCCATAAAACAACGAATAACACCAACAGGATTTGCATGCAACAGCGTTTGCTCGCTCGCTATAGGGGGTAGGATGTTCTTAATATATGTCTGCAATAGGGGGTGTTTTTTCTTCAACATGTATGCTCTAGGGGGTACTAAATTTGTATTGCGTCCGCAATAGGGTGTATAGTTTGCCAATGTGCTGCTAGCAAGAATGCACATGGTGTAAGGTTTTAATATAGGGTGACCCCGGGAAAATTTTGCTGACACATAGGGATTCAGTCTGATTTAGAAGGGGCGACGCCCCCAACATTTTGTTGAGGGGGCGTTCGCTCCTCCCCTGTGCCGCCGCCACTGGTCAAAGCAAATCACGGTGAAAGCTGGCACCCCAGGACATGAAATACCCCACCAGAAAAACACCGATGTTTCGTCAAAATACGAAGTTTATTATGACAATACTAATTCCAGGAAAGCTCTGTAAATTCTTTATCAAAGTGACGACAAAATAATAAATTGGCCACAATGATAGGAAATATAACCTTTCAATGTAAACAATTAAGATAATATATTAAAATTCATATTATATATTTTTGCTTCTCTACCGTTGATACATGGCGTACAACACGCATACGTGAAGAAGATCCCAAGCGTTTTGAAATTTACTCAAGTCGTAACTCCGCCATGTTTCAAGTGCCTGTATATAAAGATAAAGAGAAAATGTATTAGGAAACACGTAATATGGTTTGGACAGGTGGCGACCCGAATTCTGAACTAACATTCAAATGCCTTCTGCCCTCAACGGTAATTGTTAGCTCGTGTTTGAGTAAAATATAACCTGTGTCCGAAAGCAATGCAGCATATAGTACAGGAATAGTGTCGGACTACACTGTTATCACGTAAAGGCAAAACTAAATGAACTTTTAAAATTAATATTTGATGTAATTGAACTTGAACGTTTGTCAGTTGGTGACTAGACTGACTAAATTCCTACTGCTTCCCGCTATTTCCTATCTGATTGCCCAACCCATCTCATTAATTATTGTCACCGTAACATTAATGACAGTATTTTTCCTCTAGATTATCAAATCGATGGAAAAGATATTGATACGACTTCCCTACCTTTTCATTTGGACAGACTGGGTCATAACGTGAGATTGCGTAATAACTTACCCGTTCCATTAATAATGGCGTCTGCTGCACAAAGTTGGTCAGAGTAAACTCGGAATACTGGTCCAGTAGACGAGGATGGGTCACGAGTGTATTCATCAAACTGTCCCAAAAAATCACAGGAAACGAGTATGTATCGGTCATCCAGGACAGGCAAGCTTTTTGTGAATCCGTGAGCTTGGAAACCGAGAATAGAACAGAGTAAATATATGTTGTTTAATTGTGGTTTACGCAGTGGTGGTCTTTGTTATAAAATATTGTATTGCCAAGTAGGATTGGGTCTAAAACAATGCTTACCATGTCAAAAACAATAAATGAATAATGCCATGCTACTATGCTGTGTATGGGTGCATATTTACATGTGGTCCCTGGACCACTCACTACAAGGGACAGTGTGTGTATTTGTACAAATACTGCGTGGTGTAGGTTCCAAAAAAATCCCACTTACCAAAATATTATTCTGTAGTTCTTTAGTGATATTATTGTTGGGGAGCTAGAACTAGTGTCAGAACTGAGTAAAGACTACAGCGATTAATGAATGATGTTGTTCTTTTGGCTTTATATGTATATGTATGGCTTCTCACACCTATCTGCGCATGCGCAATATTATGGTGTTAATCTTTGAGGTTTCATTGTATAGTGACTATGCAACAGCTGTCACTCACCCATCGAGGTATTAACGATCTCAAATTTAAATTAGATTATCGGGTAGTTATCGATAAACGGGTCTTTAGACACACCAGTGTTACGTTCACTAGTGTCAGAATTGTTAGCTCCATTGTTAGAATATCATGCACATTCACGTTTATTATTGTATCAAAGTTTCTAAATCATATGTTAAAACCACGAGAGCACGTGTTTACAAAACTTAGACATATGGTTACAACTGTGTTATACCGTGGTCGTTCATCTCTTATACGATAATGTATCTATGATACGTTTGTGACGTCATCCACGATATATGGACGACGGAGACTGATATAATCGTGTAGACCAAGCTCAACAGGATGGACAATGATCCATTTCATTTTGTAAGATAAAAATAAGCAGCCACACTCGTCATATGACGATTGTTATTTATTAGCTATATTAGGATAATTTAAAAGATTCATTAAAATGATATAACACTGACTTTATATTGAGGTATTTCATTGTTTACACATCTCATCTGTCACTCATAAAACGAGTTGTTAACATTTATTGTTATATTCACGACATCATGTGTTTGTACAAATTCCATTTTTTTACCGCGTCTTTTATTCGATTTTTTACGACAACCAATCAACTCGTTTTAAGTGACGTCATGCATGATGAATTAACGAGGCTGAATAAATCGCGTCGACCGAGCTGAGCTGTGACCTCTTCCGATGTTCCAATACGATTGCATTTTGTGTCGTTAGCTTTTTTGGACAATTTGATGATACATTAAAAAAACTAGAAATTGACTTTTACTTAGTTTATTGTGGGCAAATCTCAGCTGTCACTCACCCACCGAGGTATTAACGATCTCAAGTTCAATTAGATTAAGGAGTGAATATCGATAAACGGGTCCTTATACAAAATAGTGTTAAATTCAGTTAGACTACGTACGACACCTCATTTTAACACTTACAACAAAACCTTGTATTAATTATTTCTTTCCATCTAAATCACGTGATACAACCATGACAGCATATCACACCTTATTATTTTAGCGTGCATTTTATAGGACAATGTGTCGAGCACATGAAGCTCCGTGATGTGACGTCATCCACGATAAATCAACTCATTGGTTCGTACTAAGTTAGCTAGGCCACACAACTATGTTTATTGTGAAGTTGGTGACACAAATTGTGTTTTTGATTTATTGTTCAATGAATACACTTTTTGTAAAACTGTAAATTTATGAAATTTATGTGTCGGTCATCCAGGACAGGCAGAAAATCGGCTTTATTTGGCTCTGATTTGTAAGTGTTTAAATTCAATGCACTGGGAGGCTAGAAACATAAAATTGCAAAATTAACGCAAGAGAAACGAACATAAAACAACTCACTCATAAATGACAAATCCAGAATTTGTCCAGATGTCATTTAAATAATAACACATGTCTGTGAGGGTAATATCACGATTTGTTGCCTGCCAGAGCCGGGGCGAGGGCATCATTAATATCATGGTCATGACCAACAACAACAGACAACAAATCGTGATATTGCCCGAATACATGTGTTATTTATTTTATCACATCGAGCAGACATCCACCAAGCACAATCACATCTACCATACCATACATTTTTAAACGCCAGTTATCAGACCACTCGCCAGATAAAAATGTCAGAGTGCCGTGGAGACATTAAGATGCGCATACGAGAACGGAACGAGAACGGATACGTCACTGTTTTGTGCATGAGCTCCGCGCGAACTAATGACGTCATCGGTTGCCTGTCCGTACGGCAGTCGTTTTGAACGTGATCAAGGTGACTGACTCGTATTTGATTACCGAGAGCTTTTCTCGCTGTCAATTTTGATTAATTTTCACTGACATTGATAAAACGTTTTATATTAGAGTGATTTTGTGTATTTATGATGAAATAAGAAATATCGGATGGATTGTAGCTGATATACCCACTGAAACGAACCCAACTGGTCAGCTCGTTACGTAAACAAAGCATACGACGTCGGGTATTTATGTTCACTTTCTACAAAGGCGACGTGTACTAACCAATTACTATAGTTTAAACGGAACTAAATGAATTATTCTTAAACATTTCAAAATGGCCATTCCCACGAAGAGACATATATTTATTGGATGGTAACACATGACATTGATCTGCTGAATGCTGAAAAAGGCTGCACCAAACAGGCATGGGACCTCGGCAGAGAGTGGTTGGAAATAGCGAGAGCTCTGTCAAATGTATGGGAACTAACTACTAATTCAGATTCTGGATGTGAAATGACATAACAAATTTTATGGGATAGATATATTATGGTTGTCCAATGAGAGACGGATTGGCGTGGTTCTGTTCCAGTTACGTTCTCGTTGTTGGCGCTTGTACTTAATCGTTTTCTGATACCCGAGAACGTAACGCAAACGAAATTAGAACAACACGTTACGTTACATACGCAAATCTTAACACTGTGACGTTTCAGTGACGGCTTTGCCGTTTATTTTTGCTTCATATAAAGAATAGCCTAAACATCAAAACTGAGAATCTCCATTCTTGCACGTTCGCTGTCTATTTCGGATGGCTAAGCTTCCTTCAAAATCCCGAAAACAACAGCGGCCGGGCAGAAACAGTGCAGCGAGCGACAATTTGTCATGCGCAATTGTCTGAGTGACGTCACCAATGTGATATACCCATGTAATATCCACTTTGTGGGCAATATACTATGTAATATCAATTTTTATTCAATGTAATGTGACCGAGTCTCAACCAATCGAAGCATGCGTAACAGCAATGAGATGTGATAATATGTTATTATGAAAACTGGGGTCAATAAACTCAGTTTCGTGGGAATGTTGATTATAAATACTGTTTGTAATTGGTTAAATAAATAATTCTTTATTACTGGGAAATAGACCTACGTAACATTTTGGCATATTGTTCAATTTTTAGTAGAACACAACAAAATGTTTCAACTGTTGACTAACACATATACTAGCCCTTCTCTATAGAACCTGGACTAAACTCACGGAGATTTACAGGGGAGTTGATTCACTCATATGTCTATCATAACACACACAGACAAAACGAAACACCAGTGAAAATAACACAATGTGTAACACTATTTTGTATGTAATGTATTATTATTTTATTACTATTAAACATATCTGGCTGAATGAATACAATATCCCCAATGACGAGAAAGGTTGGATACAAAAGTAGTTCTATTCTATAGTTTCATTTGAAACTGCACATGCACACTCACAATCTTATTTCCAGGTCTTTTCGCTTTACGCAATAGGCAGACTTCAATATTGTGATTTTCTAACATCTCCGTTTATCTTGTTTTCTGGTGAATATTTGCCGAAAGATGGCACACCCTGATATAAAATAACACACCACAAACACCGATGTTTCATTCAAACACTAAGTTTATTATGACAATAATGGTGTACGACTACGACTACAGAATGGTTGGGCAATTACGGTGTATCTTTTTGACAGTAAAATCGTGTGGGACGTTTGATTTCAGGTACACTTGGTAAATGCTTATAATAAAAGTGACTAGATAATAATCTAATCGAAAGGACCTTAAAATGGTCATAATGAAGTATGTGTAATAATCTATAATAATCTATATTATGCAGATTTGATTCTTTATCATTGATACATGGCGTACAACACGCATACGTGAAGAAGATCCCAAGCGTTTCGGAATTTACTCAAGTCGTAACTCTGCCATTTTCCAAGTGCCTATAATGTAGAGAAAAATAACAATTTTTTAGGAAACACGTAATATGGTTTGAATAGGTGGCCACTAAAATTCTGAAAAAAGGCAAATACTATTTGTTTTCCAATTTCCCGGGAAACAATTTTTATCTATGATGTCATCAGCTGACAAGCGGAGTGTGTTTTATGATATAAAATGGATATTCATGGTTTAGATTTCACTTTCCAGTCTGTATCTCGTTGAGCATTGAGTGTTCTCGCTTCTTTTGTGTATGCTGCCCTCAACGGTACTCGTGAGCAAGTACTGGGACTCAAGGTTATAGAAAGAAAAATTGAATGCTTACTTGAACCTCGAGATACGGCTACTTTTTCATTTGGATAGACTTAATTTAACTAATTTATCGTCACAGGGTGAGATTGCGTAATAACTTACCCGTTCCATTAATAATGGCGTCTGCTTCGCAAAGTTGGTCAGAGTAAATTCGGAATACTGGTCCAGTAGACGAGGGTGGTTCACGAGTGTATTCATCAAACTGTTCCAAATATTCATAGGAAACGAGTATGTGTCGGTCATCCAGGACAGGCAAGCTTTTTGTGAATCCGTGAGCTTGGAAACTGAGAATAGAAAAGAGTAAATATATGTTGTTTAATCGTATAGAATAGACTTGGTTTACGCAGTGGTGGTCTTTGTTACTTAGTATATAATATTGTATTGCCAAGTAGGATTGGGTCTAAAACAATGCTTACCATGTAGTTGAATACGTGTATTTTTGTTAACTTTTAATCGTGTAGAATGAAGTTGGTTTATTCAGTGGTGGTCGTTGTTATATAATATTGTCAGGTGGGATTAACTCCAAAAAACCTAACATACTAACCTTGTAATTGACTACATTTATTGTTGGTGACTTCAGCTTTCTTTAGGTTCAAACATTCCATCAGTTCTTGCTCCTCAACCATGTCTATCCAAGATGGTCGGTCGGGATCACTGCTACAACTGATGTTTGGTGAATCGCTGTCGGGCCATACATCAGAATCGACTTCTACTGAACCGGCTTGTGCATGATAGCACTGTGAATGGTCATGGCTGCATATGAATATTGACCGACTTTCTCGAGGGACAGCAGCTGATGTACTTGCATGTGTTTGTTCCATCGTAACAATTTCTTCGATTTAATAGTACTGTAAAAATGAAATTACAGGATTCGATCAGAGGTGTGCATAAGACTACACAATGAAAATATGACGTAATCCTTTAACCCAATATAGTTAGGTGGATTTCAATGTGGGTCGAAATACTAAATGACCAGGCACAGGAAACCATGAAAGTGTATGATTCTCACTATAAATTGCAAACCAATACTGGTACAGTACTGTACCACAACCAGACGATCATTGATGTCAAAAACAATAAATGAATAATGCCATGCCACTATGCTGTGTATGGGTACATATTTACATGTGGTCCCTGAACCGCTCACTACAAGGGACAGTGTGTGTATTTGTACAAATACTGCGTGGTGTAGGAACCAAAAAAAAATCCCACTTACCAAAATATTATTCTGTAGTTCTTTAGTGATATTATTATTGGGGAGCTAGGGCTAGTGTCAGAACTGAGTAAAGACTACAGCGAGTAATGAATGATGTTGTTCTTTTGGCTTTATATGTATATGTATGGCTTCTCACACCTTTCTGCCTATGCTTAATACCAGGGTGTTAATCTTTGAGGGTTGGAACTCGCCCACCGAGGTATTAACAATCCCAATTAGATTATCGGGTAGTTATCGATAAACGGGTCTTTAGACACACCAGTTACGTTCACTAGTTGTTAAATACCGTGTCTATTTCAGAATTTTTAGTTCCATTTTTTAAAATACCACATACCACGCACATTCATGTTTATTATTGTATAAAAGTTTCTAAATCATATGTGCACGTGTTTACAAAACTTAGACATACAATTATATAGTCACCACTGTGTTATACCATAGACAGTATAGGAAAGAACTCTGAAGATGGTTTGGGCGGTGAATTTTAAATCTGATAAATCCTGAGTACGAGGAATCTTCTTGAATATGCCGAAAGATGGCACACCCGGACATAAAATAACACACCATAAATACCGATGTTTAATTCAAATGCTAAGTTTATTATGACAATAATGGCGTACAACTACGACTACAGAATGGTTGGGCAATTACGGTGTATCTTGTTGACAGTAAAATCGTGTAGTTTCAGGTATCAAAAGTGACTAGACAATACTCCAATCCAAAAGACCTTAAAATGGTCACAATGAAGTACTAGTATGTGTAATACCATAATGTAAACAATAAAAATAATATACTAGTATAATAGTCTATATTGTGCATATTTGCTTCTCTATCGCTAATACATGGCGTACCACATGCATACTTGAAGAAGATCCCAACCATCTCGGAATTTACTCAAGTCGTAACTCTGCCATTTTTCAAGTGACTATAATGTAGAGAAAAATGAATATTAAAATGTGTTTGGAAGAGACATACATAGTCCGCAGGTGGCGGCTAACAATTCGAAAACAGGTAAACTATATTTGTTTTCGAATTTTCCGGGAAACAATTTGTCTGTGACGTTATCAGCTGACAAGCGGAGTGTGTTATGTGATCTAAAACGGATATTCATGGTTTAGACACAGTCTGATAGAGAGACTGTGGTTTAGACTTCACTTTCCAGGCCGTATCTCGTTGAGCATTGAGAGTTTTCACTCCATTTGTGTATACTGCCCTCAACGGTACTCGTGAGCAAGTACTGGGACTCGACGCAATAGAAAAAATAATTGAACGCTTACATGAAGCTCGACAGACTTAGTTTAAATTATCGTCACATGGTGAGATTGTGTAATAACTTACCCGTTCCATTAATAATGGCGTCTGCTTCGCAAATTTGTACAGAGTAAACTCGGAATTCTGGTCCAGTAGACGAGGGTGGTTCACGAGTGTATTCATCAAACTGTCCCAAATATTCATAGGAAACGAGTATGTGTCGGTCATCCAGAACAGGCAAGCTTTTTGTGAAACCGTGAGCTTGGAAACTGAGAATAAAACAAAGTATAATATATGTGTCATTATATTATATTAAATAATCGTGTAGAATAAACTTGGTTTATTCAGTGGTGGTCGTTGTTATATAATTGCAACTTTTATCGGAGCCCTACGGCTCGAGCCAGCAAAAATGGCCGTGTATACGCGGTTCGGCTCGAGCCAATTTTGTATATGCACCGGGCACAACTATCGGGGTCGAAATCACGCCCTCAATCGTCTTCTTCAAGTAACCGCCCATTTCAATTATGGCAGAGACAACATTGTTTGTAACTTCACGCAATTTCTGGCTTGACGAAGAGGTACGCACCCTAATATCTATTTGGCAGAGTAAAGAATTACTGCGATAGATTGATAGCTCAACGGGAAACAGAAAGATGGTGAATGGAATTATGCGACAAAAACTTGAAAGGACGACTGTACGATCCAATGGAAATTAAAGAGACTTTTTAAAGACACCAAAGATAAAAATCGTAGAAGCGGTCACGGTTCCTACTAGGTTAGATTGACCTAAAAGGTCAAG